GTGCTAAGGCACACATTTGAATAAATGTGGGGCTGAGTGAAAACAGACTCTATAGAGCACGCTACTCTTAAGAGATTAAAACTTAAAAAAAAACAGGGTAGAAATAATAGAAGATCAGATAGAGAAGTTATCATGAGAATCTAAGTCCCTGGGAAATTCCAAGAAACTTGTGGAAGGCATTGGAAAATTTGTGAAAATGTGAAATGAGTGAGGAAGAGTGTTGAGCCCAAGTGAGCTACATTTCTCTACCGCTGGAGGAAGTCATCTGGGATGTGTTCCTATGGGACCACATAGTTATTCCAACACTTTTACATTTCAATAAAATTTTAAAAAATGCTTCCATCATCATCAATAGAGATCAACAGAGCAGATTTTTCCCATCCTGCTACTGCATCAGTGATATGACTTGATGAGCTCATGGCTGAATCCTGAACCTAACATGCCATTTAATGTTTCTATAATCAATTTCACCTGTAGATATGGGGAATGAATCAGAAAGTATTTTTCATCCTTCCCGTGAACACAGGATGTGTCTTCACTAGAATAAATTAAATTCATTCCACCCATTAATTTATTGTAAGGAATTTATAGTAGCATTTAAAATTGTTATGGCTAAGAAATAGACAACAAGTTTGTTTATTTGAAATCATGGAAGTCTGTGCTTAATATTTAGACTCTTCTGGAGCTATAAAATGTTATAAATTAAATATATGGAAAATAAATAAAAGTATGTTAGAGTTTGTGGCAATTTATATTTAAATTGAGTTTACTCATTTCAGACATTTTTCCTATGTCATAAAATCCCTTTAAGTATATAGTTCACATTCAACTGCTCTTGAATCTCCTGAAAGTAGTCTTATGACCATGTCATAGGTGAAAATAAAACTATGTGCACACAATCTTGCTTTTTCTTGAGCCTCAAAATCAACACTAGAAGCTGTCACATTACTATATGATTTAAAAACCTAAAAGATCTGAGTTATAACTTAGCCAATTTAGTTATTGAATTTGAACTTGCCCCTTCAGAAGAGTAGACCTTCCAAAATGCTTTTCACCCTTCACCCCACAAGACAGAAGAAGGCATGTGTGCTGAAGATTAGATGCTTTTGAAGGGGAGAAATTGTCATGTATGTTCAGTTCTTTCTGCTCATATCACCTACCTCATAAATTAACTAGCTCTCTTAAAGAGGAATGAGTAATGGTATAAAGAGAGTGGCCAAAGCAATAGCTCTAGTTTAGTTCCCCAGATGTCTGCAGGTGCAGACCTTCTTCTGTTATGATAAATTATTAGAGCAAGAAAAAATGGTTCCTCTATAACCTCATAAAATGTATGCTTTTAGTTTAAAATAAGTACCCTATATTCCTCTTTTGGTAGCCTTTTATCCCAAATTTCATCCCTTCTAATTGCTTTTTACTTTGTCTTTAGTCAATCCACACCATCCAATCATTTATGATAAACTACAGCTTCAAGTGTCACCCCTTTCTTGAAGCCATTCATGCTTATCCCAGCCATGAGTCATCTCTTTCCAAAAAATTATGTTCCTCATTCATACACTGCTGGTGGGACTGCAAACTAGTACAACCTCTGTGGAAAGCAATATGGAGATACCTCAAAGAGCTACAACTAGAACTACCATTTGATCCAGCAATCCCATTACTGGGCATCTACCCAAAGAAAAAAAAGACATTCTATAAAAAAGACATCTGAACTAGAATGTTTATAGCAGCACAATTCACAATTGCAAAGATGTGGAAACAACCCAAGTGCCCATCAATCCATGAGTGGATTAATAAAATATGGTATATGTATACCATGGAGTTCTACTCAGCCACAACAAACAATGGTGATCTAGCACCTCTTGTATTATCCTGGATAGAGCTGGAACCCATTCTACTAAGTGAAGTATCACGAGAATGGAAAAGCAAGTACCACATGTACTTACCATCAAATTGATATTAACTGATCAACACTTATGTGCACATATGGTAGTAACATTCATCGGGTGTCGGGCAGGTGGTAGGGGGAGGAGAGGATGGGTATATTGACACCTAAGGGGTGCAGTGTGCACCGTCTGGGGGATGGACATGCTTCAAGTTCTGACTCGGGTGGGGCAAAGGCAATACACATAACCTAAACATTTGTACCCCCGTAATATGCTAAAATTAAAAAATAATAAAAAATATAAAAAATTATGTTCCTTCTAGTATTATATGAAATTATTTCCTTGCATTTAAGCTTTTCTCTGCAGCTACACTATAGGCATGATTAGAATAGGGAATGCAGAGATCACTTCCTTCCTTATCTCTGGTAGTGAATACCACAGTGCAGACTGGATATTAGGCACCTGATATACATTGACTATTGATATTTAAGTAAGTATGATATTTAAGTAATTTAAATATCATATTTAAGATATTTATTAAGTCATACCTTTGATTAAAACACATTTGAGGAAAAAATAAAATATCTATTAAATTAACACAATATTTTTCCTAACCAAAATAGTATTTATGCAAATGATTAAATTCCAGTTTATTTTTAAATACCACATATAAAGATTTAACTCTAGTTCTCATTGTTTAACAATCAGAATGTAAATTTTCCTGTGAATCACTTTTGACCATTAGCAGTTACAAACCATCATAATGATCACTGCTTTTTACAAACACATGTTCATGATGGTGATAAACAGCTTTTAATTTTATCTTATAATTTTTGAGGAATTTAAAAAGACACTAGAAATTATCCCACATTTCTTATTTTATTGTCTCCATTAACTAAATGAAATATCATTGGACATCAAAACTTCTCTGATCTCTTCTGAGGTTTGGAAATTTACATTGCCTTTAATTGCATTGCCTGGTCTGTAAGAAACAAAAATCTGTGTATGCAGTAACTTTTTACATTGACACTAAAACATAATGTCATTTTTATGAATAAATTTAAGAGATAATTAGTGATCCAAATATAAATTAAGATTCAACTTTTTGAGGTGTTACCTTTTGCGAATAAATTTACTGGCATGATAAGTCACTAGACTGGAATATAGGAAATGGAAAATCATCATTTATATATTTTTCCATATCTTTGACAAACTCATACTTGAATATAAATTTTCAAAGGATAGGAATTTTGCTTCTCTACCATTTTACCCACAGCACCTAAAACAATGGCCAATATCTATGGTTGTAAAGGCTGTATACTACACAAGAGTGAAGAAAAGGATTGAAAGGGTTGAAATCTAGTCCATGTCTGCCCCCAACTCAAGCTCCAGAGGAGGGGACTGTGTCTACCCAAAGGAGTTAGTTCTCATAATTTTCCAAAAAAAAAAAAAAAAGAAAAAATTGAGTAGAATTACCTATGATTCTGTTACAGTAATAACTGGCATCTAGTAGGAGCTTAGTAAACATTTATAATCGCTATATGAAGAAATTGATTTTATGAATTGCTAAGCTCACTCATGTGCAACAAATGATAACTACATTACAAATAACCCTATGCATGGTGGCTGATAAGTTCATTTGGCATGAATTACCTTAATTTCATGTCCTTTTATATTGAAAAATACAAACATATGTACAAAATAGTATCTTAGGATTGAAGAAACGGTGATTCTGTCTTGTATAGAAATTTTTCATATAATCTTTCAACTTCATTTATTCCCCCTGCTTATTTGATGTCAAAGGCAAAAGCAAAACATTTATGAAGTGATTTTGAATGGGCCAGGACCTGCTGGTGTGGAGGAAAGACAGTCACAAAGACTACTTAGGTATATTATGAAGATAGAAAAGACATGATGAGAGCATCTAGGAGTAAGAAATTAGATGTAAGCTGGTCTTAACCACCTCTCTCTCTTTTGTATGGACCACCTCAGTTGTTTTCTGTGCATTTATTGCATTTGACTCTTTGCACTTGGGCATCCTCTGCTTTTTTCCTCTTGCTCCTACTCAGCAATTTTGTCTTGCTTTGGCTTTGGCTTTCTGTGATGAAAATATTGGCTCCATTTGCAAATGGATTTTTAGCTCATTTGCCAATCACAACCTCTATATCACTCAGTTAATCTTGAGAAAGGATCTGTTGGGCTCTGGCTCTCCTCCTTGTGAATGTTTCATGTTTTCTAAACCAAGTCTTAGGAAATAGTCATGCTCTCTTACAGGAATTTATTTTGGGATACGTGGATAGAATTGAGGTTTGCTAACCTGGATTTGGAAAAAAATAGATGTTTATTTTCATTCACCTAAGACTGAAATTAAGCATTTTCTCAATTTTAAATGTAACAAACCCCAGTAATAGCAGTACCTGTACCTTTGTCACCAATAGAAATGACAGATAATTTTATATCATGTTCAAATCATTAGATATACTTAAAAATGCCAGTTTTGCTCATTACTACTTTGAAATTATCTTAAAGACCCTATGCTAGATCTCGTTAACACATTAATAAAGAAAATATGTATTACCACAGCATAATTAAAAGATATTTTGTAAATTGTATTTTGGTATAATTGGTTTCATTAAAAATCATATTTTATACTTTTAAAACCATTATTATGAGGAGTCCTTAAGCTTCACCAGATGCCAAAGAGGTCCATGACACAAAAAGGCTGAAAATTCCTGCTCTAGAAATACAATAGCACCATACTTGCTGAATTTTCTAAAAGCACTTCCTTATTTGCAGATGGGTTTTCAAATGTCTACCTTTATCCATGTACAAATTAAATAAATACAAATATATTTATTTGGACAATGTGTATATTTATTAAACATTTATAATCATGAATAATAAATGCATCATGTTAAGTGTAAATATATCTTCATATATACCAAATAATGAAACTGCAATATGTATGGTATGATTTTTCATGGTTCATGAATACATGGTTATAGATTTAAACTTTCGTCAAATTTTAACATAGTAACCATACATGCAGACATCCGTAAACATTAATTTTTAAGGTCACAATACATTACTTGAAACTCAATGTTATCTTTTTCACAGGCTACTCAGAAAGAGATTGAGAAACAGAAGGTTCACCTGAAGAGTGTCACAGAGCTAGGGGAGGCCTTAAAAACGGTTCTGGGCAAGAAGGAGACCTTGGTGGAAGATAAACTCAGTCTTCTGAATAGTAACTGGATAGCTGTCACTTCCCGAGCAGAAGAGTGGTTAAACCTTTTGTTGGTAAGACTGGAAGCTAGAAACTTTTCTACCCCTCTCTGTAATAAGAAAAAAAAATACATAAGCATTCAGTAATAGTAACAGTGTTTGAAAATTCTTCAACTATACATATATACTGGCTCTTAATTCAATATCTATAACTATATTTTCACGTATTTTTCTCCAAGTTTCTGCTGTAGTCTATGTGAAGTCTCAGTTAAAAGTAATTTGAATGATACTACATTTTTGTATGTTTAAAATTATAGAAAGTAAGGCAAATTCTTTGAAACTATTGTCTAACCAATTATGTCATGGTATGTCTTTGTATAATTAAGGAATACCAGAAACATATGGAAACCTTTGATCAGAATGTGAATCACATCACAAAGTGGATCATTCAGGCTGATACACTTTTGGATGAATGTGAAAAAAAGAAACCTCAGCAAAAAGAAGATGTTCTTAAGGTAGCAAATAAAATATTATGAAAAGTAATTTCAAAATGCACAATTATATCAATCATCTTTGTCTTAGAAGATGCCAAGCACTTCTTAATAAGAGTAAAACAATCCATACTTCCCTCCCTCTGTCCTTCCTTTCTCCCTGCCTTCCTCCCTCTCTCCCTCTTTTGATTGGGGATTAATGATATTGAAGAATTTTGTAATCTGGATACCTGTCCAAATGCACCTCTCTGCTAATTACACCCAATTTAAAATCTGCTCCAGAAATGGATTCCAGGATGTATTTTGGCATCATATTGCAAATTCCTGCCAATTTTAGTGGTTGTACCACATTCTCATATCTAACAGAAAGAATAGTTGCCCACTGTCATGCATTCAGCCTGAGTCAATCCCTGAAATCCAATCATCTGGATATTTTACCTATGCAATATCCAACTCTCAGTAATTAGTCCTAATGTTTTTCAGCTACTTTCCCTCCTGAGCACATATTTAGGTTGTTCCACAACTATTAAATTCAGTAAAGATAAGATAAAATAATACTAAATATAAAATATCATGACTGCTGCAGGCAACATAGAGAAGTAAGGAAAACATCCCTAGTCATTTCTCAGACTAACCAAGCATTTCAAATAGACATGCATCAACCTATTTTATGGAAGTTGGTTTTTTTCCTCCCTTTCTATTCTTTTGCATGTGTTTCCCCTCCCTTCTTCTTCTCTCTCTCTTTCTCTCTCCCCATCCCCCTCCCTTCCCCAACCCTCCCCCAGAATCCCCTCCTTCCATTAATTACTAACTTCAAGCCCTGTCTCTTACTCATGGAATATAGCGTTTAAAGGCCGAACTGAATGACATACGCCCAAAGGTGGATTCTACACGTGACCAAGCAGCCAACTTGATGGCAAACCGTGGAGAACACTGCAGGAAAGTAGTAGAGCCCCAAATCTCAGAGCTCAACCATCAATTTGCAGCCATTTCTCACAGAATTAAGACTGGAAAGGTAGGAAGATCTACTCCAAGGTGGAAACTAGTGCTAAATGATCTCATGCGAAGGTTGCGCAGTGCTCTGAAGGGGGAAAGCAAGCCCCCCAGCAAGGTTTGCAAAAGGAAAATGAAGGCCAAAATGTATTTAAGGAAAATTTACCACTGACTATCATGGGAGATCAATCTCTCTCTCTCTCTCTCTCTCTTTCTCTCTCTCTCTCTCTTTCTCTCTTTCTCTCTCTAATTTTTTTTTCTGCCACAGCTATGCTAGAACTGCACTCTGCATTCGTTTACATATGTACTTTCAGGGGTCACCTACAGCAAAGTAACAAATCGCATGCTGCAGGCCAAAAAAAAAAAAAAAAGCACAAAAGACATCTATCAAAAGAAAGCACTGCTGATATATTTTGCCAAATATAACATTGCTTGTATGTAATGTAGATTAAATATCAAAAATGAGGCCTTGTACATCTCCTGCACGATCTAGGATGTTTGTACCTCTTTCCTGGTTGTGCACGTATGTGTATTTAACTTGCTCTTGCTAGTTGCAGACACTTACTATGACAAAATCCATCAGGCTATATGAAATGTTCAAGCCATGGAGACAAATAATTGCAAAGCTTATATATCCTAATTTTTGTAATTTTATATGTTCATTTGTATTTATTCTATTTAATGAAGAACCAGGGGATATGGAACTTTTGCATGATAGCCT